TCAGTCACACACTCCTCGAAATGAAATAAAAAGTCTGTGTTGCTGTAGCATGTTGATGATGAACCACTTCAACGAATTGAAATAAAAAGATATAATCTGAGACAAAATGGAACCATTAAAACAGGCAGTCTCGTCAAAGGTAGGGAACTACTTAGCACAAGAGACCTGATTAGGGCTGCAAGACAGACCGAGGATGAAATCACCTTGATGGAGAAGTGCTGAAATCAGACATTTGGACTAACGAATCCATCTTACCGTAGATAAGTGTGATACGAACATCACATCAGGTAACGAATGTTTTTCCTTTCAAAAATGTTTGATTAAAATGAACAAAAATCTTTCATGATACGTGATTTCTATACTTTTTCTAGACCATCGGAAATGCTCTTCTTTAGGATCGGAAGGTCCATTACTGCTGATATTCTTCAACTCCTGTGAAACCTGCTGCTAAGTGACAGAACAGAACACTTGAGGATTTCTTACGGGCACGATAGGTTTTGAAACTTTCTCCCGCAGCAAAGATGATACTGTCATTTTTAAAAGTGTTAAGGAGGCATGGAGAATCTATTTAGAATTTGTTTTCCTTTTGTATTCCTTCACCCGTGTAAGCATTTCATGCATATAAAAAGGTGGCTTTAAGTAAATGCTCCTTACCGATCACTTGTGCTCGGTTCAAGAATTAGCAATCTGGCTCTCCTTGCCGTGAACTTAACTCAAATTTGCGACCTTCCGAGGGTAATCTTTTTGATCCACCAAGGAGCACAAAATGGTGTCGATTAAACTTGCAAACAAAAAATAAAGCTATTCAACTTTGATTAATCCCTATATGAGGATGTGTTTTGGTGTTTGCGTAGAAGGTAAAATGCCAAGAGAGATATAGGAAAATCATATAAAGCTAAGCTCGTTTTCAAAGCCATCACAGTTGAAGAAACTCTCTAATACTGTGTGCGCTTTCATTTTTTTTGCATCAGTTTTGAGTAGAACGTTTCATTAATCAAAGGTTATGTGTTGGAATGTTCAATTTATAATGATTACTGCTTTTCGTGAGACAATTAACAGAAGAGTTGATTGAGCACCTGTTGTATCTAACGTCCGACCCCACCGTTGGCTATCACACGTGTTGTGGTGGTAACCAAAAATAATAAAAGTTAAATTAAAAATAGATTTTTTAAATACTTTAGGTAAAATCAATCATTTGGGTTGCATTTTTGATTATTCCATTTGAGGCCAACTTCAATTTGGATGAATCGATCAACTGAGTTTGTGATAGTGAATTTAGTTTTCACGCAAGATTATAACTCACCGGTAACCCTAAAGAGAATGCAGAAGATCACACGGGTTTTTCTTCAAAAGTTAATAGATTGCCATCACTTAGAGACAAAATTAATAGAGCAAAGATAAATAACTTTTGTCTGGAACTACTTTTTCCGTGATTACCAGCTTTCATTATTGTATATCCGGTGATAACAAGAAGATTGTAGTCTTTCCTAAACAAATTTTTCCATAGTAATCTCCCCAAGTAGCGCAATCGGAGTGAGAGTGTAATCTCAGTAGTTTTGTAAATAACTCATACAGACAATTATGATTCTCTCATTATCAGACACATGGCATCCAAACATTTGATCTCTTCAAAGGGACGATCACCGCCTATGCTTAGCTGGAGCAACGGATACTTGGAAGCCATCATTGTGCAGAAACACTATGAAAGCTGACGTGCACAAAACTCTTTTAGACAAGGAATGAAAGCCAAGAAAGGTTTTCCCCATTGTTCTCGTTTGTTAGTTTGTGCATGAACGGGAATAAATTCGTTATTGCAAACAGTACACGGAGCATTTCATATCGACTCAAGCGGAATCAACTGGAAAAAAATGCGTTCCTTCCAATAACTCAATCATATACAGTCTGCAACTGCATACAGATTTTTGGAATTCACTACACAATGAAACCGAAATCCCGTTCGTGACTGTCGTGTAGTAAGTATACGGAGTTCAATTGTTCATTCCGTATTTCGACCGATCCACTCGACCACTGCACACAGGCGTGGCCTCGTAGCTCAGCTGGTAGATCGGCGCGTACAAAGCGTAGGCAACGTCCATGCGTGCGTTCGAATCCTACCGAGGCTACTGAACTTCTCACAATCGACATAAAACTTCAAATCTGCCAAAAGAACCATTTGCACAAAGAAGAAAAGGCAAAAGGTTTTCGTCAAAAGATGGTACAGTAGTGTGTTAGTCTTTCCTCCAGACAGGTTTGCCTAAGACTGCTGCTTGCTTGACTGAATCAAACCGTGTTTAAGTATCCCCTCTCATGCATACCAAACAACTAAAGTGTAATCCGTTGTGGTTACTAATATGTTGCTACTCGAAAACAAAATTTCCAAAATGTAACCCACTTTTGCGGTTGCTTTCTTGCTAATTTTCGTTAAAATACGGTGACCGAAAAAGAATCAATTTAGACACCAACGTTACAAGTGTAAATCATTAAGGATTATCCAATCACATCCGAGCGCGCCAAGTCACTTTCACCAGAAGCAGGTTTTGACTTTTGCCATATTCTCTCCTCCGTAGAACAACTCATTTCCAACACGGTTATTGCAGTGTAGTCCAAAACTATTTACCTGTTCGATGCGCGGCACTGAATGTTCAGGACCTACTCAGTTGTTAACGATCCACCGTTTTTAGTAAGAGATTTCTTCGAAATTCCGATTTCAACACCGCGAACTTCAATGATGGATTTAGGGCAAATGAATGCTCAACGAAACTTATTGAGCTTATGTTGTTTTCTTTTCCCTTACTTCCTAAACTGTATCAAATATTTGCTCGTAAATACCAAGGTTAATCCATGCAGTGATTTAGTCGATTGAATCGGAATGTAAATTTTACAAACCATCAAACTTCTTATTAGCCTAAATCAGATAGCGCTAGACGGAGAGATATCAATGTCAAACGTTGAAGCGGTGACAACTTTTTCATATTTCTAATCCACAAATTTCTGTACAATCCACTAAATCTAACTGGTCTGGCTGCTTAAAGTGATTCAATAAATTTATCGTTGAGGGAAATAACTTGCATCCGAAAAACCAAGTCCACATCCGGTCGAGAGAGAGAGAGATAAATCTGAATGGAGATAAATTGACAGTTTCTTTGTTGTTTTACCGGTACCGCTCAACACGAAAAAGTCGATAGTTGACGAGAAATTTGATGTGTGAGGTTGTTTCTTTTGAACATTGTTCGCATTGACTTCAACTTTCCAAAGAAACATATCTGACCGTGGTAGAGTTTAAATGGAGACACTTAAGCAGTGACGGTTGTGTTGAAACACTTGAACAAACACGGCATTAAAAAATTTAAATCGAAAACCGGAAATTCTCAAGGTATAATAATAGGCAGATCTTGCATCAGGAATGACAAGAAAGCATATTAAATGAGTATTTTTCGTCATAAGCTGGAATACCTTACTTTTTGCAAAGAAATCGTAAGCAATCATATCCAAATGACTGCAAAAATAATTCATCAACGGTTGCTTATTCTTGTTGGTATAACAGAAATTGATTCACAGTTCTGACAACGACATATTTATTATTCCTCTCGGGTAATTAGCCGATAGGGATCGGCCAATTTACTTCGTCACGTGCAAGCAGTAGGTTTCACCAGGTATGAGACAATCAATGAAAGAGAGAAAGTGAAAATCGATGCGTTCGAATTCTTCGTACATACGAGTTTCTGCTCCAATTACAAGTCCCACTTAACTTATTCAGGCTACTTCAACCTTTCCATTTAAACCAATGTAAAATTGGTCGTAAAATTTCGGTAGAACAGCTGAAGTGCGATAAAGAAAGCGAGTTTTCGATCAAGGAAGCATTCATGAATCTTGTTTTATATCATGCTTTATTGGTCTGCACAAATGCCTGTGTTCCGTCCTTTTTGTTGTTGTTCTTTATATTTTCACTTGCGTGAAGTTCAAGTGGTTGGTTGTTTGTTTCAAGAGCCTTGCTTAATTCAGATATCTCACACAACTGTTCCATCTACCCCACCGCTCTCCTCTGTGTCGTTTTCAGTGGAGGCCGCATCTACCTCTCAGCTGTTCTCGTTTGTTTGGGTAGCTGTCGGACTGGTACTTATGCTTTTACTTGGTTTGACTACATGCGGTTGTTTTCGTATGCAACGGAAGCGTCAACGAAACGTGACTGAGCGTGTTTGGGTTCGACAGGACAACGTCAACACTGGAAAGAACGGAGACCGTGGAGGCGGTGGTGGTGGTGTTGTAGTGAGCCGGGGACGAAGAATACCGAATAGTCAACGGTATGTCTTGTCTGCACTCCCAATACCGCTGTTGTTGTCGCTAATATTTTTGTTGTTATTCTCATGTTATTGTTTCTGTAATTTGTTGGCTAGATGCTGTTTTTGTCATCTCACGAACGATTCCGGGGTAAATGCGGGAGCAACAAGTCAGTCAGTGATTTGAATCAAGCTGCAAAATCATCAGACATTAGAACATTGCAGGTGGAGTTGGTTTCGATTTTCATCGGTTGTTGCACATTTTATTAATTGGCCTAAGTGTTCCGTTTGGATCACAATAGGTCTTTTGTGAGCCTTTCACAACAACACTAACACAATGTAGCTTGAAAATAATCAGGTTTGAAATACTTTCAACCCTGAACCCCAATACTGAGAGGTTCACGAGTCGTTTTGAGCTCACAATCATGAGTTGTGATATATATATATATATATATATATATATATATCATAACCTATGGTTTATTGTCGGAAATATTCCCATCACAGCATTTGGAACAAACAGTTTGGCGAAACAATTGCTTTTCAGTAATTCCTTCTCAAGCCGTTTACAGATTACATAGGTAACATTAGAAAACAGATCACACAGTTAAACACATCACCAGTCATGAGTAAGAGTTTGTCATAGTCAACTGGCATTTGTCATTTGATTGGTTTAACTAAGTTACGGCATCACAGTAACCGGACGGCGGACACACCCGGGACCGATCAATCACGAGTGCTTCAATGATCCACATTCAAAACCAGGATAAACTGTCGATGCTGACCTCATCAATGGTTTTATACTCTTTAAGATGCGTATGTGGCGCACCTTATATTGGTCGAACGGCACGACAGCTATCTACCCGGAACAAAGAGCATCACCCACGCTGGTTAAGACTAGGACAGACCGTAACAATAAACAGCTCCATCCTAGCCCATTTAGTCGACACCGGACATCAAGTTAATCCGGATGTCGCCTTCAGAGTTGTTTATCGTGTCCCCCACACCAAGTGCAAGGGTGTTCAACTGCGCATTCTAGCAATAACCGAAGCGATCGGGATAAGAAAGTTGACCCCTGACCTCTGCGCCCAAAAGCCTTTGATTCAGCCACTCCAACTTCCATGGCCCGTGATCGATCGGTCCCGGGTGTGTCCGCCGTCCGGTTACTGTGATGCCGTAACTTAGTTAAACCAATCAAATGACAAATGCCAGTTGACTATGACAAACTCTTACTCATGACTGGTGATGTGTTTAACTGTGTGATCTGTTTTCTAGTGTTACCTATGTAATCTGTAAACGGCCTGAGAAGGAATTACTGAAAAACAACTGTTTCGCCAAACTGTGTTTGTTCTATGGTCTATTGTCGGAATGGAAAAAAAACAGTCCGGTTTTTTTAGTGGGTAGTATACTAGTGTTCTACCTGTCAGGTATTGGATACAATCCTCTGTTGCGTTGATGGATTCCCGCACTGATGCTGAGACAAGCAGGTCGAATTGGTTGCATATTGCTTCCAAGCATTCCAACTCATGCTAATAATTTGGAACGGATAGTAGAACTTGATTTTGTGCAACCTATGGTGTGTCGCTAGACAGAGCTGGTCATTGATGATATCCTTCCTTTCCCGTGTCAACAAAATCTTTATCAAAAGAGTAGTTTGACGCTTATAATTAATGTGTTTTACTAATTTCAACCACGTTGGAACCAGGCACCAAAAGCTTTTCAGCCCGTAATAGTTAGGTCAAGGTAAACAGAAGCTTTTTTCTGATCATATTCATACGACAAGATAAGTGGGACATGGTGCAGATCCGTTTGCCATCCATTTAGCATGCATAATGATAGTGAACCTGTATTGTATGTGCAAACGTTATGAGAACAAGTGCGATTATGCTTCAAATTTGGTTCGGATCCAGCGTCAAAAACAAAACAATAAATGGAAGCTACCAAGGTCAATCAGGACTGAGATAGCAACGAAATGAATCAATTTAATGTGATGCGTTGGGTCTGCGTTTCCTTGAAAGTCAGTATCGGATATTTGGAAACGGGACGGTCTGCATGAGAAGTAGCACAATCATCTATGGTCGCACGAAGACGACAGATGATCTCCAACCTCTGTTTGTATGGGGTACACATCATACGCAAAGGACCCGATATAAAAATGAGCGTGGATATCGGAAAGCCTATTGAAATTACAGTAGTTCCCGTCGGGATGTAAATGAACTGGTGCACAGAACCGTCAGTATCTCAAAGAGACAGTGGAAAGTGAATCACTCTCAATGTTTTATTTCGATTATTTCAGAAAACTAAATCCAAAATCTGTGTTTCAGATCACAATGAATGGGTGACGCATAGCTTCTAATCTGTCATATTCGACCAAATGGTCAAACCAACTATTTTGTTTACACAGGGAGTTGTTTACGAAACACGGATGAATATGAGGACTATACCACTGTTGCTTGTTTTCATTATCCCTTTTTGTTCCGTTGGATTCCCAAGAAGAGTAATCTTCAACTATTATCGTATTCATTTGTCTATGTAATCTCAATCAGACTGTTTTTGTTTTGTGAATAATTTTAAATTCATATTTTGCAAAGCCGTCATAATGTCCATTGGTGAATTTGTTTTTGTTTAGGCAACCAATCATTGCAGCCAGTTTGGAATCATCAACAGAGGACGACTTCAAGTTGATGGAATTATCGAAACCTTCATGTTACAATTCACCACCAGAGGTATGCCAATCAGGCAGCAGCTGTTCGTTACAAGTAGCACCAGCGTTTTCAACAGTAACCACACCGGTTTCTGTATCCACGTTTGTGCACCCATTGGATATGGTGCATTCTATTTCCACAGCGTCGCCAGTCGGGACAGTAGTCACTTCCTGTTCCCTGGTTCTGAACAGTGCTGCCGCAGTTGGTCCCGGTACCCAAGTATTGTCATCCATATTTTCAGTTGCCACTCCTTCCGATTTGATTCGAGATGTGGAAGGGATAGGCGTGCAAAAGCCACACAATACCACTTCCCCGGTGCTTCTCATTCCGGCCACACAGCTTTCGACAGTCGAGTTCACGGCAAAAACCGTGGACGACGATCCAGTCTCTTTAATACTACACATCCCTGTACAGTCGAATACTTCCCAATAACTACCTCTTCATACTCTGATGAATAAATCTATTCTTGACAACAGCGTGGGTGTATCAAATATCATTTTCCAAACGTTAGAAAAACATTTTAATTTTTGAACTGCTAACATCACAACAAACGAAAAGATCCAATTGTGTTCATTCGTCTTTCCCAGAGGACCCATTTAACTCAATTAATAGATTTGTTGTCTCCACGATGACTGTTATTTCGGATTTCAGTTCCACCTCGTCCCAAACCTTAAACTCTCCCACTCGACCCCACCCTCACCTATCTCTTTTATGCCGCTCTCTGATGCCACCGCAACCATCGTCCTTGTTGCTCCATCAAAGCATGCCTCAGTTTGGCAACCGCTAGCACGAGGCACATCATTTTTTTACGTTTGAAAGAAGAAAAAACAACTTTATTGCGCTGTTTAGTTTTGAATCGGGAATCTTGTTTATCCGTTTGTTTATCCTACAAGCGCGATTTCAGCATGACAGATTCAGTCAATATCAGGTATGCAAAACATTTTTTCGCGCTGAGGATATGTCCGTACTGCTGAACAATTTTCTGGGAAATCTTCACAAAATCTGTCATGAGTAACTCTTTTTGAAAAGCTGCAAAACTGGAACCCTCGAAAACAAATGAAACATTCCCGGAGAAGTTTGAAGAAGCAAATAAATTTTAAAACGTTTATGGTTTACCGACTATCAAGTAATTCATGAAATAAGTATTTCTTTTTAGCTACTCCAAAATAGTTATTACTGGAAGCTATGTAATTTTTTTCTAATCACCAGCAACGTAGAGGCTTTCCACTTAACATCTTGATGTGATAGGCATAAATTACGACGCAAAACTCCATAGACGTCTAAATTTGGATGATCCTTTCCATTGTGCTAGCCTTGGAAAATCAACCGGAACCGGAGGTAACATGAACAGTCGAATAGTTTCTTGCCGTATGATGGCCGCATGTTGGCGCATGGAGGTGCGGGGTGGGGTTCGCGCTCAGGGTCGGCACTTGAAAGTGATTCAACTGACTGGCCACAACCGTTCGTGACGAAACTGGTTTACAATTGGCCACGAACAAATAGTCAAAAGTGAAAAGAAAAGCTGGTATAGCAACATTGCATGATTTATGTCTTGGCCGATTCCGCTGCATCTCAGCCGGTGCCTAATGCAAAAAAAACAATGTTTATATGGAGTTTGGGAATGGATTACAAAATAAACACCTGTAAATGGGGGAAGCGTCATCGAGGCAAAGCCAAGGTGATGAACAAGTCTTTTTGTTGACCCAGAATTAGTTTCCATTGGTTGATTGCAGTCGCCTCGGCGCTCTTGAGCATTCTGGTGTTATCATTAGTTAAAATCACTCGAAATGTTTTCCCGCGTTCCACGAGGTATTGCGTCATCAACAAAATCTTGGCAATCGAAGAGCTTGGTGGTTTGTAATCTCGGACCTTACCAGTTACTGGCGGTGGGGACTTTGCCATCGCAACCTTGCGTTGAACCCAGTTCGGAATTTGTTAGTGTTAAAGTATTTATCCTGTGCTGATTTGCGAGACGTTTGAGGGATTTACTGATTGCTGAAATTCCCAATAACCAAAAAATACGAAGAAAATAGAAAAGCGACGTATCCGAATAATTTGGACACGAAGAGAAGCAATGAAACGTGATGGTGTTTGGCCTCGGTAGGCTACGCACATAATCATTCAAGGTTTTATTGAGCACATACGAACTTAAGGACACTGGGGTCTGTGAAATGTTCACAATCAGGCATGAGGTTTTGCGCTCCGTAGTTCTCTCATCACTTCACATGCAGAACCGGAATCGGAGTTTCATGTGAATCTATCTGAATTGACAACGTGAGAAGTCTGATCAAAAGCTTTGTTCACAAAACTCAGTACGTTTTGGACCGAAGGAGGAGAGTTCTACGTAATCTATAATAGTTCTCCCCATAAATCGTTTAACTGGGTAACAAATAAAATATCTCACTTCTTTGGAATAATCATTCACAGGTTCGAGGAGTGATAGAATTGAATTTATAATTCCATCACAATTAGACTTTGTCCACAGCATTCATTTGATTATAACGAAGTAAATGAAATAGTTCCCACATCTGACTATCAGTCTGATATAAATCAGATTTCCCGGAAGGTACTTGGTTTGCAGTTCACTCATGCAGAATCAAATAAACCGGAAAACTTTGCGCTTAAAAACGTGAGTAACTTTGGATGCAACAAAAATCTATCGCTAATTATTTCTTTGGATTCTTTTAGGAAATATCTTAAATCTTTCAAATGATGGTGAACATTTTGTGCAACCCCGGGAGCATCCAATGAGCAAGAATGTGGTCTAACGTCAAGCGGCAAACGAGACCAACTTTTCAAATTTGTCAACCAATTTTCTCAACAGCTCCCCAGAGAGAGAGAGTTTTTAGTGGTTGGCTCATGATACCACCGCATCATAGTTTATGCATAGCCGGTCAAAGAGAACCCCGTTGTAGTTTGAGGTGTAATTCTAAATTAGCAGATCCCTGGAGAGGGTAATTTCATTTCGAGACCAGAGATGAGGTCACCAAGCTCCCTAAAAGACTTCACTTCATTTGGCGGCCATAATTATATAATTTTGCTCATTCATCAGGTTGGTAAGATTAATTGAGATGTTGGGTGTATAGTGAAATGAACGGGGTGGGATGAAGTGAGGAGCTTAAACGTCGGAATAGATATATGTGAACGGGTGGATATCGGTTATGCACAAACGAATTCTTGACATGTCGGCTGCTACCAGACACCATGATAGATCGCCGATGTTGAGAGGGGGTCACGTTTACAGTACGAAATACTTCATCTGGGTAGGGAAAATTCAGCATCAATTGGCTCCAGTGTTCAGTCCCGCGAATTCGTCTCAGCAATCCGTCCAGACAATCATCTGAGCATGCAGCACTCCGTGTGTTCCCTAGAGGAATAAGCAAAAGAGTATGCATTAAATGAGAGGCCAGAATCAGTCACATTGACTTTGACTTGACACGAACGTAAACAACACAAGGTATTCCGCCACGAAGGCGGCCTTTTATTACCATCGGATAGTTTCTGTTGTAGAACCTCAATTGTCCTCCTAAATAAGAGTAAATATATTGACCCTTACCCATATTCCCCATTGTTTAAATTGGTGTCACTATAGTGTGTAGTACTGCTATCCAAGCTTTTCGGACACCCATTACGTCATTTCTAAATGCATTGATATCATAGTGAGATAAAATACTTTAAACTATGAATGCGACCAAAGCACTTCTCAAGGTATGGGGAATCCATTCCCACAATCCTTTCCTCATACACACAAAATCAATTTGTCCTGGCGCTTTATCTATCTCCGCTAAACCACCAAGCACCCAATAAAATGAGTATTCTTGAAGATTTGCTGAATAGATAAACAATTATGAGACCACATTGAATCTTAAGCCCGGTCTCAAGATGAACTTCAGTGCTATCAGTAACTTGTGAGGTCAGTTTTATCCTACCAACACAAATTAGTTCTTCCATTAGTGATTTATTTGCAGTGGTGAGATAGCAAGATTACAAATCACTAAAGTGATGCTTCTTTACCCCTCTGTTACCTGTGTGCCATGCGATAAGATGCCATAAATAAAATGTCCCCGGTTTGGACCCAAACAGCCCTTTCCTGGTGTTTAATATTTTGGGGATAACCATGCTCACCTTTTCATCTCCTGGTGAAAAATTTTGAGCTCGTTTAATCTCTCTGTAAGATTTACCTTTCCCACCGTCATCCCTTTTGCTGATAGATGAAACTTTTCCAAGCATTCCGCATCCTTTCTGTATCAGCACTACTGAGGTTGAATTTAGTAGTTCAGCTGAGGTTTATCGATGACATAACGTATAGTTACGAATGAATAATTTCCTAGTGCTAACGTTTTGTTCTGTTCATCTGTGGCACTGGCTCTGTTGTCACGCTCCAGAGCGATAAGAGTAAACCGAAAGTTGCGTTGTGACAGAATCCATCTATAGTAGCTTTGTGGTTTCCTCTTAGGTGTCTTAGTCAATTTCAGCTCAGAGTTTCTCTTGTTTAGATACATATAGATAGACTGTCCCTTTTCAGTAGTGTTCAGCTTGTTGCGGAACACCACCATGGTTGTTTAATTTTCCTCTTTCGATCACTGAGAGATGTAACCCCGAATTGGAATTCTACCATAGTTTTTCCACGGCAGCAACGACGCTCTTAACTTCCCACTCTGGTTCCAGTGCTCAAGCCCAAAAGTTTGCAGTTCCCACTTTGCTGATATTTTGTTCACATTTGAGTGTTTTAGGCTTCCCGAAACTGAGTAGCAGCAGGTGGTCACTCCTTCCAAGAAATGTGACACTCTCTACGTTCCTTCGGTGTTTAGTGGACTCCAGATCCATAAGGAAGGATTTTGTCCAGTTCTGAATCTTGTGTTCTCCGGCACGTTTTTTTAATAACCTTAAAATCAACCCAGTCTGAAAGCTTGGCTTCCTGCGCCCCATGAAGGCAGGTTTCTGCGTTCCACCGGATTAACTGAAAGGTAAATTTTTTTATTGAGCGATGAGACCGTGTTGGTACGTCCAAAACTCGTAATTGTTCCTCGAAATCATGCACATCCTGGATGCGGTAGCTTGGTTAGTTTTCGACCACTGAGAGATTGCATACCTCGAAAAGTTAGAGTGTAAAATTCCCGTTGAGACATCTATTTACACCTGTCCTCCTCTATCCTGTCCATAAAACTGAATGCTATTAATCATTGAGAGTGATGTGTGATTACCTTGCCAATTTAGTCTGAGATTGCTATTAACAAATGCGAAAAAAACATGAACATACTTGTTTCACAGAGCCGGAAGACGAGAAAATTTAACATTTGTTCTTTTATAAAAATAAAAATTCATAACTCCATCTCACTCTTCATGAAACATTTGCCCTTATGAGGACAGGAGAACTTCACCAACGTAAGTGGGGGGGGATAAATTAAGATAATCTGTTTAAGCTAGTAATT